TGAACAGTATTTGCCTTTTCCTGGAATAATTAAATGTCGCTTTTGATACAAGAGAAAGAGACAGATGGTATCACCCTTTGTTAGAGCATTCATCTGGACTGACAGTACTACTTTTCCAGCCTTGCCCCACAAACATTCACATGTGTCATGTGGAGGAGACCCGCATAGGAATGATGTAGAGCAGCACATCCAGAATGCCTGGGTGGCCAAAACACATTCCTAAGAGATGCAGGCAGAAGTCTCCTCAAAGGAGGAGGGATCTGAAGCTGGCTCTCCATCCCCTGAGGTATTACTCAAACCATCAGCAGTGGTGGTTCAGGAAGGAGGTTTAAAAAAAAAGTCACCTCCTGCCCCTTGTATTTTGTAGGAAAATCCCACCACACTGCCCTAACTTCTGGACCATGGCAGAGAGTATGCCACACAAATCTCTTCAGTATTCCCTACTAGCCAGCTTGGGCTACTCAGCAGATGGCTTCTGTGGATTCCAGTCCCAGGCCCCTAGTGCTTTCTACACGTTGGATGTCACGAAGCAGACAGACATACCCATGGCTTGGTTGTTACTGCAGAGTGTTGCAAGGCCTAAGTCACTTTGTGCATTTAATCCCAAGCATTTAGACAAGTATTTATTTGGTTCTATCTGGTATTCCTTAGGGTTTGTTTATTTCCTCAATTTTTTAAATTTAACTGCTACAGTCACTTTTTCCAGGGTTTCCAAATGACTTATAGCATGGTTGCTAGCCCATGCTGCCATGTTGGATATGATCCATACTAGGTGATCCAGCTCTGAGATGCCTCTTTGTGCTACAATCACACTTTCATTTTGCTGCATAGATACATCCCTAGTGATGGTTTCTGTCAAGGAATTAATAGAAGTCAGTTATGATCCACAGATGTGGAGATAATTTTAGAAATCCAAACTGCTCACTTGTCCAGGGTGTATTTCTCACTAAGTGTAACTTGGCTTTCCTGCTCATCAGTATGTATAGTTACAATTATAGTATATTTGATGCTGGTTGACGATAGTACTTTTGATTTTGTTTCCTGGTTTCCTTCCCTACTAGCACAGTACAACCCACTCCCTTTACAAACGTAACATAGGACACAAACTGACTGCAAGATAAAAAAATGCCTGGAGTCAAATGAGGGGCTGTACTGTGATGTTCTTCACTCTTACAGTGTGCATTCCAGAGCTAGCAATTTGTTACTCTTGCTCCATGCTTAATCAAATTATTTGAACGCATATGTTTATACTGCAGTTATTTAGGACCATTCTATGGGCAATCCAGCCTTCAGAACAAGGCTTCAAATCCTTCCAGCTCATTCACATTAGTTTATTCTATACTAAAGAAGCAAGGAATACTGTAAAAGTCATTTGGTTTGGCCATCAACTATTGCAGAGAGGAGAAGTCATTTTCACTACAAGTAGAAATGAAAAGAAATTCTGTTTTCCCAGAAGCTGGTGCTCTCCCACAGTGTGTTCCTCATGCTAATAAAGGCAGTATCAAGTTATTAGGATACTAATGGTTGAAAATATTAAATTTACTCAGGATGGGAGGGAGACATAAAACTAAAATTAGATGATCTAACTTCTGACATTTTTATAACTAACATCACCCTGCTGTAAATGGTTGATAAAACAGTTGTGAACAGGCTATTAGTTGCTGTACTCACTATTCAGCATGAGCCAAATACCATGTTCATTGACTTGATATGTTACCAGATGCACTGTGTGTCCTTGTCTGGTGGATCTTCTTTTTTAATGTTAAGTTCTGATGTTTTCCAGGTATCAACCATGGACCTGTAATAGCTGGAGTAATTGGAGCTCAAAAACCACAATATGATATCTGGGGCAATACAGTAAACGTGGCCAGCAGGATGGACAGCACTGGTGTCTTAGATAAAATACAGGTAAGTCTTCATTTTGTTCTAGTATTCATCTCAATCCTTTGAGTCTGGTGCTTAAAAAACATCATATATTTGTACACTAAACAGGTCTGTGTTTTGGAGCTAAGGATGCCTACAGAAAAAAATTACCTACCAGCTGTATCTGTACATTTCAAAAGAATTACACCTTGGGCAGGAAAGTAAAGAATTAAAAGAAAATTATAGGGAAAATGGGAGGGGAATCAAAACTTTGTCTTGACTGTACAGAGGAATACAGTGGAGGAAGTCATGGGTTGCCTGGAAATACATCCCTAGATTAACAGAGGGAAATCCAGTTTCTATTCTGTGAATTTCTAAACTTGTAAAATACTACCTACCTTATCTCTGGAGGGCATCCCTGATGTTGATTAGTTCTAAATAAAGGAAATTACCATAACTGCTGTACATCAAGTTAAATCCATAAAACAATCATGAAACTTCCTTTATAATGGATCATCCTGATTAATAATCCTTATAGATAATTATCTGCATAGATTATAGATAGACCTGTATAGAAAAGACCTTAAATTTTCTAACTTTCCAAGGATTCCGTAGTCAGGCATCACATTTTAAGCATCTGCCTAGTATGCTGCCTAGCACTTTGGGATCTCAGCGTGTGATTGAGTGCACTCCAAATCTATGATTGAGGCTATTCAGAATTAAATAATGAAAAAGTACAGTTACCAACTGTTGGTCAAAACTGAAAACAGAAGGGATGTCAGAGTGATGACATCTACAAACAGTTGCTTGCTTCCCAAAGAAACACAGACAGTCTGAGGCAACTGATGCTGTTGAACGACCTCTGTTCTAGCGGGCTTTCACCTAACATAGCTGAACTGTGTAAAGTTTGGTTCACTACCAGTTACGTGAGAAACTGGCAACAGCAGCTCTGACAGATGACGCTAATATCTTACTGTCACTTCATTCACACAGCCTCAGTATTTGAAAAAAAAAGTGGGGAAGCTTGGGTCTACTGAAATGAAAAACAGTGCCTGAAGTTGAGAAAAACGCTGTATGAGGAAGAGTGTTGTCCCCAGTGCCATTTGTGTATCTAGTAGCCCTCTGTTTGCAAGCCTAGGTACGGAAATGGTTATACCCAATTCGATACTTGATGTAAGCGATTAGAATGGGCATCCAGCAACAGACGATTGCAAAGCTCAGGTGCTCAAACCTCATTTGAGGCCCTTAAAGGCCTTATCAGCATTACAGCAAAATCCTTATAATTGTTCAGAACATATGTTCTCTTCACACTCTGGAAGAAGATTCTGCTTCGCTCTGTTATCAACGCTGATTGTGTTACTGTATTGTTACAGGTTACAGAGGAGACGAACAATGTGCTGCAAACACTGGGGTACATGAGCACTTGCAGAGGAATAATAAATGTGAAAGGAAAAGGTGAATTGAAGACATACTTTGTACATACTGAAATGACAAGATCCCTTTCACAAGGGAACGTGGCATCTTGAAGAATGCTTGTACGTGTCATCAATACCATATTTTCAGGAAAGTATCACGCACTTTTTAACTACATTTTGGCCCTTAACATGCGTGCTATTTTCTGGTATGTGGCACTTATTTTAATATGGCTGCAGAATAGTCCCATGAGCCATCATTTTGCACCTTGATATTCCTATGTTCAAGGACAGTTGCGTTGTACGCTATAGGACTGGAAGATTGTACTGCAACTTGCACTGTTGTTCAAAGACAAGAAAAGAAGGAATAGGAATTATAAGGAGATAAATCATCCTGAAAGGACTAAAAAGAGGTGTTAGTGACAAAGGCGGAGAAAAAAGGCAATAAAGCTAGGGGTGCATACTATTTTCTGATGCATGGTGTTTTCTGGAAAATACAGTCGCTCCCCAATAGCATCCACTAATCTGGTATTAAAGTACACAGTATTTGTAAATAAATTTACTCTGTCCACACATGATTTGGATGTGATCACCAGTTGCATCTCATAGCCAGGGACACGTTGGGTGGCTTGCTGGCATTCTTTCTGAAGAGAGAATTAAAAATGCTGGAATAGTTTTGTACAAACGTGTCAAATGTTTTGAAGCTATTGTCTTTTGTAAGGTTAATTCATTAAAAGTTTATATGTACTTTGTCTTACTGTTGCTGTCTCTTAGTTTTGCTTCCTTCCATGGCTTCTGTCACTCCAAACCTGCGCGTCCTCTGCTGCTGCTGCTGCTGCTGCTACTGCTGCTGCTTTTTATTCAGCAGTTAGATGTTGAGGCAGGCTATGGCCAGCTATCTCAATAGCCTTGGCCAGTAATATCTGCTAGACTTGCTATTGCCTTTCAGAAATTGAATCACCTCTATTGTCTTCAGTCTTGGCTGGCATCCTAGGCACTTTGCAGTCATTTACTCCCTAGGCGATACAGAAGACTTACCTCAAATCAATAAACACAAGCAAAGTGGGGGATACTGGAGACAGTAGTAGTGTTGCTACTTTGCAATTGGCCTGCAATGCTTAAACTATAACTAGAAGAGGCTGTACAAAAGAAATATTTTGTTTGGTTTGCACTTTGACAACTTCTTTTGCCCTTGCATGCTTTTCACTTAACCTTTGCAATGCCAGATTTCATGGAATATTTAAAGTAATCTATCAGGACAGGAGTATGAGCGGAAGATATAAAAAATGCTAGCATCCATATAAAATGCTACTATTTTGTGGATATTCGAGATTAGTTTAAATCCCATTGAAATAAAAAGTATCACACTTGCAGAGTTTCATAGATGAGCCAAGTGAAAGACTGAAAAAGCAGGTAATTGTACTATCTATGCTCCTTTGAAGCATACGTAGTAAAGATTAATTTTTGCTTTGCTATTATCAGTACTTGAAATTAACATATTCTTTTACTCATAACTGCCTAACAAGACCAAAATTAATAAAATACTGTTTAAAAAATACCATATCATTACAAGATTTTTTTTTCTGACTGATATCATATGAATATAGAAGTCAACTTATGCACTATTAGCTCTGGCATGTTATTGAAATGTAAAAAGTATTCAGATTTCTCTGAAACATATATTTACATTTGCATTGCATTGGTGTCCTTTCAGAAGGAGTTCTCAAAATTGTGGGTCACAAAAAAATGGCATCAGGCCACAGTCTCACTGAGTGTGGCACGGTTTACTCACAGCAGCCATCTGCCCGCTAGCAAATTGGAATGTCAGTAGATTTCAAATGCCTACATCTGCAGTAAAATAGACAATCTGAATTTTGATCCCTTTGAGTTAGCCTAAAAGCAAAATGAAAGTTATTTATTTCAGTTATGTATGTCCAACATAACACACCTGACGTCTCACCCAGAGCTGGAGACACTTGATCCCAGTGTCTCCACCCAGCTGGAGAGTGTCTCCATCCAGCTGGAGACACTCTCAAGATAGATCATCAGTCTAATAAAATCACATAAAAAATGTTTTGTTGCCTTTATGATTTCTTCCTTTTAATTAATAAGATAAATATTTTCCACTGGAATGAAAGACTTTGCAGGTAGCTCACATGGCAGCAGAAACAACGTCCCAGTCATTGCCTAAAACAAGATAGCACTTAGCTATGCTTAAGACTTCTAAATCCCTCCTCTCCACTTACTATCAATTTGTCCTAGGAACAACTAAAAAATAAATAAATCTCTTAGACTTTGAATGTACTCTGGGCCCTTAAAATCATTCTGGTATTATCACAGGTCAAAGCAATCGTTTCTTACTGTGGATGAAAACCCTTTATGTAAAGTTGATTATATTGTACTGTTGTATCTATGTGCAGCTTTCAGTATAACCTGTACATTCAGGATTTTGCTTTTCATTTGTATTCTTGCACACTTTATGCATCAGTAGCAAACCTTGTACCTAACTCAATAGCCTTGTTTCTTTGATTTTTATAGAAGTTAAACAAAATTATATTTCTGTAAGCCATGAAATATTAAAACATTTGAAGGGCCATGAGCTGACTGTTCCAATGAAATAAAAAGAAAGATATATACGTGCCCTTCAAGAGCATGTTGAAAATGCCCTTGTTCAGAGAACTCATGTTTCTCTGGTGTTCTTCTCTTGTTTTGTAGTTGCATTCAGATTCTTGCAGCCAAATCCTGCTAAAGAACAAGAAAGTGGGCAAAAGATGATTATACATGTAGTGTGGTGCCCAGACAAAGAAAGGTGCATACCATCCTCTCCCCAGCCTTCAGTTACTATCATTACTATCTTTCTAGTGCCGAGAAGCTATTTGTATCCAATAAATACTTTTTGTCTTCCAATGCATTTTACATCTACTGTTAATACTGTATTATTTTTCCCCTGTCTAGATGTACCCAGAGTTCTTGTATCCTCTTTCTTCCTCTCCTGCAGCAATTTCATCTGCCTCAATAACTGGATATGTAACACTGCTCATGTATCAGTGCGTAACCTGAAAAGCTTTATGATAACCATACAAACCAACATTCGACATGCCATATATTTTACATCACAGTAAGGCTCAAGTTCTGCACCTTCCATGTTGATGCTGTAGTTCATAGGTCGCAGCATACCACAAACAGTGTGACTTCCAAAATTACAATGCAAATGTATTTCACACCGTGAGGAAGCAGCAAGAAGATCAATGCAGGAGTGATTCACTGTGGTCTCGGAAAATTAAATCCAAATGGGAACATCCTGCTGGATTTCTTTTTCAAAGTCAATGCTTTGCTCCAGTTTATAGAGGACTACCAAGGGACAGGAAGAGAGATTAGGCTTGCAGATATTTTTGTTAACTACAAAAGCAGTTGGGATTACCTGTAAATTAATGCTATTTAGCTGCTGTTTCTAAAGAGAGACATTAGCATCATATCTATGCTGTGTGAAAAGCATTTTTCATTCTCTTTATATTCCTTTATGAATCCTCTAATTTGTAAAATATCTACAGACCTTCCCTTTTTCCACTGAGGCACAGGTAGGAGTTCAACCTGCTCATTTCTAAAGCGACAGCTGTGTGCATCTGAAGGTAGAGCTGGTGAAAGTCTGTCCTCTTCTGCTTTCAGAACCTTGTATCAGGACAAATAATTAGCTATGCTGTCAGAATGCTTTATATAGCAGCAGATTTACTGTTAAAAGCAATGATTACCTTGTCCTTTGATACGTCATTTTCCTTTTGGTTGTACTTCTGCATGAAGACACTTTAATTTTTCATTTTCAGATAGCAGATTCTCCTTCACCTGACCTAGATACTACCCTTCAACACTTTCTACAAGTGGACCCCAAACAATTTTAAGACTAGGGCTTGTTAGTTGTGTTTTTCTTGTCTAAAATAGTGGAGTGACTCTGGGGAGGAAACAAAAGTAGAATGAGAGATATGTGCCTTAAATAAAACATGTAATTAAGAGACAACTTTTGTTCCTTTAAGTAAGTACTTCAAATTTGTGTGGATTTGATCAAAAGTAATGTATAAATCAATTGTAGCTGGTTCACCCTTAAGTTTGCTACGTATTAATTTTAAACATTTTCAAATTTAGGGGCAGGAATTATTCATGTCAATATAATTTTTAATATGTCAAAATGCAAGATAAGAATATTTTAATCCTGTTTGCAACTATGAAGATATGAACTCCTTTATGTTGTAGGATGCCACTGTTCAAAACAAAAATTCTGCTAAGGTTTGAAATTTTTTGATGGAGCATTTTTAAAATATATTTGTAGCCATTGAGATGCTCTTCATGAAAATCTCAGTTTTAACAGGAAAAATGCATGTGAAGTATTTTGAAAGATTCACATTCCTAGACTAGAAATTTTAATGTTTGCATTCCAAAATAGTGTTACAAATAACAATTGTTACAAAAATAATGTCACCTCATGTATAAAATTGTGTATTACTCTGCTCACCAAGAGGGTTATTGAACAGAATATTCATCTGACTCAGTGAGCTGGAATATCCATTTAGCAGATATCAGTCAGCATACAAATAATAATTGCAAATTATATCACTCAACCAGTTACCATTTTATAATTGTTTTAAAATTATTAAAATAAAAATAATAATAATTATTTGAAAAGCCTAATTCTCCATTAAGAAGTTGAAATTGTAGTCACAAGCCAACCAGGAAATGTCTGCAATCTGCAGACCAAGGCTCAGTCATTGTGTAGAGAATTGAAACAACAAATATATTCAAGGAAAATTAAAAATTTTCCTGAGTAGCTCATGAACAAAAAAAAGCCCTAAATATGGCAAAAGGTGTGCTGACTTCTGCAGGTGATGTGAAGTTGTCTCCGTCTCCTTCAGAAAACCTCTGAAGAGCGTTCCTGTTTGAGACGGGTGGTCTGTCACTAATTCAGGGTCTGGAAGGAAGAAGCACTTGTGTGAAACGACTGGCTTGGACCAAAGCTGTGGTAGTGGAAAGAGGACAGAGCTTTTGAGCCATTTTTGTTTCAGCGTCTTTTCCAAGGGCCATTGGATGCAGCATTTGTTGGCAAAGTCTGTCTCTCCTTTGTGGAGCAGCTGAGGGTCAGGAACACACGGCAATCTGATCTACGTTGAGGTCAAACAGCAAGGACGGGAGATGAATTGCTAAGCTTTAATTTGACAGCAGGCTAGCCATCTCAGCTCTAAGTGACACAAGTTTGAAACAGGTATGTCAGCTTGTAGTAAGAAAACCTCTACTGTGTTTTTTCTGCATAACAATGACCTGTCCAGTTATATGTCATCTGTCCTCCTGTGTCTGGCCTGTCTCCATCCCCCTGTCATCGTCTCCATGTCCCCCATCTCCCATTACATTTGCTTCACAAATTCTTTTTACGAATTTTCTTGCAAAGTTATTCCGTAAGCCAGTTGGGCATTTCAGAATAGTCACCCTGCCCCTGAGACACCTTTATGGCTGTAAAAGTACGTATCAACATATCCAAAATGCAGAAACCTTAGCAGTGGAACCTGAGGAGGATACTGCTGCTCCCTAAAAAAGCTGGCAATTGAACTTTTCCTCCATGAGACCCCAAATTCAAAGCAACTTTTAACAGTTTGGTCTCTGAGCTCAGCTGTATTTGAATGCATAGTTTTGGCCATAGAGATTAAAATTGCACCATCGCCCTCTCACAATTATTTACATGTTTGTATTTAAGTTACTAAGGAAACAGGCTGACCTC